GCAGCCACACACCAGCCCTTCTTCCTCCTCCATCACCGCCAAACTCCCTCCTCTCCAAGCCGGCAGCATCATCACCATCGACCGCCAACGCACCAGCCACATCACCACCGAAGCAGCAGCCGCGAAGCAGAGTTAGCAACCGGCGAGGAGTTCTTGGCGGGTTTTTGGCGTCTTCCGGGTTTTGAAGTTTTAATTTATTTAATTTATTTTTTTTATTATGTCTCTAAATATTATTGAATTATTTTTAATAATGTTTAGTGGCTAAATTCTTTTAATCTAGGGCTTGGGTGTAGCCACCGAATTTATTTGGTTTATTTAGTTCATTATTATTTGATTTTTCCATTAATTAATATTTGTTATTCTTGTTTTAATTCGTGTAAGTAATTGGCCACTATTTGCATGTCTGAAGATACTAATTGAAGTAGCGAGAGTGGAAGATTAGTATTAGTTCGTAGGAATAATAAACTTAGGTTGTAAGCTACGAGAGTAAGATTATAACCTTTGCGATATTTGATTCTTAATGGTCTTAATGTACTTTTGTTAATCCCTATAGTCACGAGAGTAGTCATAGGGTTAATCTAAGTAAGAGAATTATAGCACGAGAGTGTATAGTTCTTAATTAGGTGAATCGTTGTGAGATTAATGGAAGTTAAAAGTCAAATATTTGTGAACTGAACTAAACCAAATATTCGGTAGGTGAATCCAATGTCCTAGGTTTTCTTTGTTTGATTATTTGAATTAATATTATTTTCCTTTATTTTATTTATTTATTTTAGTTTTAAATTTTATGAACCTAAGATCATCATTTATCTAGATAATAATAGGAGTAATTTATACCTGCTAATTAGTATTCCTTCTCTGTGGGATCGACCCTGCTTTCTGCTTTACTACTAGTAATTGTATTAAGTAGGTAATTATTATTTGACTAGTGTGACGACGGCTTGTCAAATGGCTATCGTTACTTTGTGCCTTTTTATTGATGATTTTTCTTTATTCACATGGATTTATCCCATTAAGTATAAAAGTGATATTTTCCATGTGTTTAAGCAGTTCAAAACTCTTATAGAAAACCAATTTGGCACCACTATTAAAAGTGTCAACTCTGATTGGGGTGGTGAATTTCGTCCTCTAAATTCGTTCTTTAAGGATTTAGGTATTGTTTATCGTTTAAGGTGCTCTCACACTCATGAGCAGAATGACACTGGTGAACACAGAATTCGTCACATTGTTGACATTGGCTCTCTCCTTAGTCATTCTAGTACTCCTTTCCGGATTTGGGACTTTGTCTTTGAAACTATTGTGTTTTTGACTAATCACCACCCTAGTAAACCAAGGAGAGCAAAACTGAATTGACTAATTTTAACTTTGTCACAGTCATGATTCGCGTAGTTTATCTATTCCTAGTTGAGTTTAGATTAGATGGTCTGACGACGTGATTTATTGGTTTAGAAACCGCTAAATTAAGTTTTAGATTATACGACCTGAGATCACAATTGCATATTTATTCGTTTAGTGACCGCTAAGACAGTTTGAATTAGACTATCTGAAAATTTGATTGTGGATTCATTGTTTCAACGACCGGTAAATTATGAGTTGCCAAATCTGCATGTATGAGAATGTGATTACACAGTGTTTGCTAAGTCAAGTATAGATCAGACGGTCTGAAAATTTGATAACGCATTCATTGGTTCAAGAACAACTAAGTTAAGCATGAATTAGATGGTCTGAAAATGTGATTCCCGCATTTATTATGTCTGCGATGTCTAATTCATGAGATGTAGGTAAACGTTATTTGGTATTCAACCACTTCTAGTATTAATGTATGAAATTCTTTTTTTAAAAATGTAATTTGTTTTTACATTAAAAAAATATTTTTTATGTTCCCAAAAATTTGTTCACATACATTTTGTATTAAAAGTAATACAATTCATAATCTATATGTATTTGGAACAACTAAAATTTGTTAATATTTGAAAGAATTAATTAGCAAATCTATATGAGTTTCTTTTCAACCTTCTCAATTAAAGTAAAGTTGGTTATTATTAACAAAAAAAAAAGGTAAAACAGGTTGTTCAAAATTCCTTTCATACTGCGATCATATATGAAAAATTATTCTATATACTTGGTATATCCACAAAAATGCAACAAACCAATACAATTTCTTTTAACATCCCCCTAGTTTTAGCATATCAGATGAAATTATAAGCTTATCATTTTTATGTGTCAAGCTACAACACCAAAGGATGTGAAGCCAATGTGCAGAACAATTTCTTGGTCATATATGTGCTACGTGGCTTCTTCTCATCTCTCTCCACAATTCAGCAACCGGTTATTTCTAGTGAAGCACACGTGTTCTCTTCTCACATCTCTCCACTAGCCAACGACCGGCTACTTCCGGTTAAGAAAAGCTTATAAAATACTCGGTGTTTTTATTGTTCATTTCATCTCAAATTCTCAACCTCCTCTCTCCGTTATCAGCACCGCAAAACACCGCCACTGGTGACGGTTTTACCTCTTTATAATTGGTGCTTTTTTTTTTTGTTTGGTGGTTTCCGGCGGAGCACAAAAGGGGTAGTTCATTTTCACCGAGGAAGGGACGGCTGCTTACAATTGAAGAAGCTGCAAAAGCAGAAAACCACAGTATGCCCGAAAAATCTAAACCTCGCACTTTTGAATTATCAGTGGTTGATTACAAAGTTTCATAACTGTTCCCAATTTTAGATGCTGGTTGGGTTGCTCTTTGATTGAAAATTTTATCTGATTCATTTCATTTCTAATTTCGTTAAAATAGTGAATCGCTACTAAATTTACTGAACTGGTGACAAAGCCTCAAGAACAGTAGGATGGCTATGCAAATGGAGTTAAATCTAACTTTTTCTTTTTCTGGTGTCTTAACATATGTAAGTATTATAACAATAACAATTGGCTATTTAATCTTCATTTTGTTTATTTGGTATCCTTCATTGCTAGATGAAAGATAAAAGGGTGTCCGATCATTTTAGTCCCTAGAGTATTTTTCTATTTTTTTCTGTCCTAATATTTTTCGCTTGAAAAAATTTGTCTTGAAATTTTTTTTTTTTCAAAATTAGTCCTATTAGTTGGATTCGGCCGCTATTATGTCAAAATTTTTTTTTTTTTTACTTTTCAAAAAAAAATTTAAATTTCCCTCAATATTTTATAACATTATCAATATTGTCCTAATTTTTTTTAAAAAAAATTAAATCCAATTTTACTTTTAGCACAGCACTTTTTAAATTTTACCTTTTTTACTTTTATTTATCCCAATCAAAATATTTCTATCCAAAAATATACAATTTACTACATTGTTTACCTCTTTCTCTCTCTTTTTTACCTCCAATCAACTAACTTTTAATATTTATTTTCTTCTTATTATCTTTTTATTATGTTGTCCTCTAAGCTGTAAACTTAATTTTTGAAATTTGGTGATAAGAATCCTTGCTCGCTCATTCAATGAACCGTCCTGAAATCAGATGGTCTTAGATTTTGTTTGAAAATAAAAGGGGGATTGAGAGGGGGAACAATGATCTGCAACTTTTTCAAGTCTGTTTACATTTGTTTCTATGATTTAAATATACACATAAAGTAGAATGGAGTGAAAGATGTGTGGAAAACTGTAAGGAGGTGCTTGGTTCAAGAACGGAATGATAGTTTTCAATGGGAGTCATAGAAATAAGGAATGAATTGGGTATCAAAACTCTAATTTAGTTGCTTGGTTTAAAAATACATTAAAATGGAAATTAATTTGAAAATGTCATTTTTAGCCCTGTTATTTCCTCCTCCGCCGATTCCATTTTCTCGCCTCGCCTCCAATTGAAACACCTTCTCCGCCAGTTCAATGCCACCCAACAAAAACTCATACTACTGATCATCTTCTCCTCCATCACCGAACAATGCACCAGCCACCATTAATTTCCTTCCTAAGTCATATAATATTTTCCACACAACCGAAAAGATTCCAAATCTGTTACTTTATTTCATCATTATAATCATCTAACTAACATAAAAACATGTCTTTTCGGGACCGTGGAGGGTTGGCTAGCAGCAGCGGCAACAGATTTTTCGTGGTGATTTAAGATTCAATTGATGGAAATTTTTTTCACTTGACATTTGAGGGTTTGATGGAGGCGATTTGTTATTGCTCGTCGATTTAGTGTGAAGATTTATCGAAGAAGAAAAAATTATGATGAAGGTAAAAAAAACCAGAAGCATGTTGATTTAAGATTGAGGAGGATAAAATTTTGATGAAGAAGAAGAAACCTGAAGGCTGGAGCAGCACCGTGGGAAAATGTTGAGAAAAATAGGGGCAAAGGGAGGAAACTTTTTTTATAGTGATTAATTTCTTCAAACCCTCCAAATTGTTGTGGAATGAATTATTGGGTTTCATATCCTACAAAAACACTATGCTGGATTCATTCCTTATTAACCAAGCAGCATTAAATGGATTGAAAGGCATAGACTTGGATTGAAACCCTCAAACCAAGCACCCCTAAATGTTTGATAATGCTGGAAGTGTTACACTACCATGTGAAACAAGAACTCTTGCCTTGCGTTCGCAGGATTCATAAAAGAACACGTTCTTGGTGATTTAGCCCAGTGCCGTTTAAGTTTATACAAGAAGTGTTTCAATCTTGAAACAAGCACAAGACATTTGAAGTCAATCTTGAAACAAGCACAAGACATTTGAAGTCAAGGTTGTTGAAGTTCCATTGTACATGTTAATAGAATCAATTTAGGTCGGATTATTGCGACATCACAAAATCATTTGCTGTTGTATCTTTAAATGAGCAAGCTCATATCTACATGACTACACACCCTCAACCTGTAGTTACCTTCTACCCTAGATATTCTCAAACATAGTCATCTCGAAAATCCATTTCCAAGCTCGTAGAAAACTTCCAAGGGTGGTTAGAAACTTCATCACTTCGTTCGTTTTAGATATTGAGGCAGACTCCATGGAGGGTGATTCTTCAGTAATACCAATGGAAGTATTCTGGGAAATCTTGATGTGCCTCCCTGTCAAATTCCTGATGCGATTCAAGTGTGTCTGCAAACTCTGGCTATCTATGATTCTGAACCCATCGTTTGCCAGGATTTATCGAGGTGGTTTCAAGGGTCTTCTGCTTACCAACATTCGGTATGCTATTATTGTGGAAAATATTCTTGGATATATAATATTGCTACCCGAGAAAGTATGCAACTTCCAGACTCAACCCATGATTCTGTTGCTTGGTTTTACCATCTTGGTTTTGATCCCTCCAAGCAAACTTACAAGTTAATCAAAACATGCTACGACCAGAGTCCAGAGGGAGTTGGAAGAATTTCAGAAAGATGGGAGGGATGTTTTCCCTAGGAGCATAAGAAGCGATATTTTCACTCTAGGTGTTGATTCATTATGGAGAAGCATTGATCACGCACCTTGGGTGTTGTAGAACACTGGTTTGTGCATAGAAGGAATTTCGGTTAATTTTTCACCCTCAGGAAAGTTTGGGTCTAATAGAGCTCTATCAGCATCCGATATCGTTCCTGATTCTAATCAGGAAACAGTGCTATATTTTCACAAAGATGTTGGGATACAGGATTCTTGGAGACAGATGTAGTTTATCTCCCGCAAGTGTTAAAACCAGCAGAACCAGAACAGTATGCTTTATACACCCCCATGGGCATACTCCCCGGCGGAGAGGTAATCTTCGTTAATAAAGTTAAAATCAACTGGGAGATTCCGCCAGCGTTTTAATTGTAAGATATAATCCAACCAAGAGGGAGGCGAAAAAACGTTACATATTGAGTTGTCCAGCCTCCATCGCATAACAACGCAAATTTGAAATCAGTGACTATGTCTATCTCTGGTATCACGAGGAGAATATGATGCCATTAAACTGATTGGTTCTCAGTCGCAGTCCACCTAAGAATGTTTGGTTAGGCATTGCAATCTTTGTTTTTTTAAGTTTTAGCTTCTTGAACATCTTTCCTTTACTCCATTTGCTACATAGATTGCAGGGGAAAATGCGGCTAGTGATATATATTTGCTTTGTAGTTAAGATTGGATGTTGTAATTGAAGGATGGGATAATAGGGAATGGCTTATGCCTACCTAGTGTGTTAAGAAACGCTGAAATGCCCCTGCAACTGTTAGTAGTCCAGCTCTTAGCGTCAGGTGATCAATCTTCCATATATGGATCAAATCATGTACTCTTTTGTTCCGAAATTTTTGCCCAGTTTTAGTTTTTATTGTTAGTATAAATTGAACTGAAAGTGAAAATCTAAACCGGATGGAAGGAATAGTTAATTTGTTCTATGCTCTCAAGGGATCGATACAAGCTATTAAAAAATCATAAATGAATCATGACTCCTTGATCCTATTTGTAAGACACGGTCGAGTAAAGTACTGTATTTTTTTAAAAATAAAAACTATATTATATCACTTTTTACTAGAAATCATCCAGCTATGATTGGTATTGAGAGTTACAGTCAAAACAAGAACACAACTTAGAAAGAGCTTGGTATGGGGGTTTCATTCCGAGTATATGCCTTTGAATCCATTTAATGGTACTTGGTTGATGAGGAATGATTCCAGCACAGTGCTTTGGTAGGATTTCAAACCCAATTTTTCATTCCACATGAATTTGGTGGGTTTGAAGAAATTAATCATAATAAAACAAAATTTCTTCTCTTTACCCCTGTATTTTTCTCTCACCAACGGTTTGTCACAGCGGCAGGCCTCCTGTTTCTCTACCTCAGAGGTCTCTTCTTTTTCATAATTCTTTCTTCCTCAATTTGAGATATGTAGGCCAGATATTGAAGAGTGGACAGCATATTACCACCACAAATCCTGATTTTCGGAAAATTTTTTGCCACCAATAGAATCCCAATTTATCAAGAAGAATATAGTCACCTCACGCATCCACCGCTAGCCAATCCTCTGTGGTTCTTACCCTATGAAAACGAAAAGTTTTTTTTTCTTAATTTTAATCTGTTGGTTTCATTATATGGCGTCTTTTTTATCGCATGGATATGAAAAAGAATTAAAGATTTGGATATTTTGGGTTTTGTGGAAAATGATTTGTAAATTATTTGATAGAGAAATTGATGATGGTTGATGCGTGGTTTTGATGAAGGAGAAAATGATGAGTGGTGGGTGTTTTAGTTGGGCGGTCGAGGACATAGAATTGGCAGAGGAAAAGGTGTTATAATTGAGCGGCGAGCAGAGAAATGAATCGGTGGACGGCCGAGGAAGGAGATGTCATAGACAGCAGGATAAAAATGTCATTTTGTGTTCATTCCCATTTCAATGTATATTTGAACCAAGCAATTAAATTCTAGCTTTGATACCCGATACTATCATTTATTCTATGAAACCCATTGACAACTATCATTCTCTACTTGAACCAGTCACCACCTTACAATCAAACATATCACGATTGTTGTGTTTCTCGTGGATAAACCTATCTAGATCTACCCAATATAATGATGAGTATATCACGTGTCAGATAATCAATCTGATCAAGAATATATCTCCAATCATCTGATGAAAGTCCCGACTCATAGATTTATCAAATACCTCTATAATGACTGAATTTTCTCGAACCGCACAGTTTGAAGCAACGAACGAGATCACGAACATCGTCGTAACCATACGAAATACACCACGAACACTGCAACAAAAAACCATGTACTGCAACAAAAAAAAACCCTACCCTCTCAATAAATCACAATTGATCTACTGAAAGAACAATACTTAGGAACAAACCCCACTTATTAAACAATGCAAACAACTAGAAATAAACAAAAATCAAATCAGTGCCCCATCCACCCTTAGGAAGATAGGGGAGGAGCAAATTTTTTAGAGAGGGGCGGCTAGGAGTAAAGTACTGTATTTTATTAATAAAGACATCTCCAAATTTTATTTTATTTTTTTGAAAGAAAAAAAAAAGAAAGAAAGAAAGGAGAAGAGCAAAGCAGATCTCGGACGAATCAACCGGAATATTCTTCTTCACGAACGTGTCCGACGCGACAATGCTTAGGTGTATCCGCAATGAACGTATTCTGCTGCGTGGGCGACGGCCGGAATCTCAAATCCCCGCAACGAGCTTTCGAAGTGATGTAAGAAGTGACGTCACGGTCACGATACATGGCGTTGAACCGGATACTCACCCCAAACCTGAGCCTTCCGTCATCCCATTCCCTCCTTCTAGTACGAATATCATCCGCAATTGCACGCGCCACCGGCGATTCCAACAGAGCCGCCGCGTGTATGTCACTTATATTCGTATGCTGCAGCGGAGCTAGACCGAAATCCTCCACGTCCGCCGTCGCGAGAAGCATGTGTGAATTCCACGTCCAACGTACTTTCTTATCATAAGCATCGTACCAGACCCATACTTCAACGTTACGAAAACTCGCAAAACTCTTGGGGGCGAGATTCACTGCCGAGATTCCGATGGTCCAATTCGCGGAGGGGGATGATGAGATTGGGGAGAATGAGATGGCATCAACCTGAAACCGGGTTTCCCGGACATCATGACTAATTGTATTATACTTACTAGCTTCGTAGATGATTACGGCCAGAAGGGTGGTTGCTAGGGCTACGATCAGGACGACGGCGATGGTGGTAACACAAGCTCTGCATCTCGTTGGCATAGTTTGACCGTCACGAGTTACTTCTTCGTCCCAATAAGAAGAAGAAACACTTGGGGAATTGTTTTGCTGTTGGCGGCCATGACTATGATCAATTGCTATTGCGTAAGAATCCGAATTCATCGTAATGACTGCAAATTAATTCCCTCACGCACACTACAATCAGACTCCCGGCCGGACGTATGTTATATCCTATGTTCTTTTTCTTTTGCAGAGAGGTAAAACAAGTTGAATAAATAAACCTATGTTCGATAATTAAAAAATCATATAACTCCTCGTATGTTTGTATATATAGAGAGAGAGTAAAGAGTCATCAAAGAGATTCTCTCCTTGTCTAATTGGTATTGGTATTGTAATTAAGGTGTATTTCCTTCTTCTTCTGTGCTTCTGATGATTTTGTTAAAAAAGGAGGAGGGGGAGTGCGATTACATCTCTAATCCCTTCTAAATTCAAAATCGAAAAAGAAACAAACAGATAAAACTAAAAAAAGGAACCAAATTAACAAAATCTTATTATCGAAGCAAATTTTTTATTAATTCTTTTTTTTTTTTTGTGTGTGTGTGTGTTAGAGTAATGGACCTTATCCTCAAAGTCATGCCATACCTCAAACCCTGGATATTTCAGATCATCCATAGGTACATACCTTCTTCCCTTCTTTAAATTCTTTCCACCTCTATTTGGAACCTGTGCAAATGATTCCTCTGATACATTTCTGGACCTTAATGAGCCGCTATCAGCCTCATGATCACAGCCTTTGACCTCATCCATTTTTGGTCCTTTTCAAACAAACACCAGGATTGAACATAGACCGCTACATCAGCTTTTTCCCGGTACTCAAGATCCATGTCCCCCGCGTCATGATCGCGGTCTTTGACACAATCTCGATAGACATAATCATAATCCGCTTCAACTCCAATTTTTTCAACTCCACTATAATCAGATTCAGAATCACCAGAATCAGACTCAGAAGCAGAAGCACTATCAGAATCACTTGAATATTCACTGTCATCATCGCCATAATCCAGATCCCCAATATCATACTCATCATGTCCACTATCATCAGCACAATCACCCTGTTCCTCGATGACGTTTGAACACTGCCCAATTAAAGAATCCGCGTCTCCTGGGCCAATCCTGTATACATCTATCCCTCGCAGTCTCAGAACAATACTGTCCCCTAACATTGCCTTAACATCCTCACATCTAAGTAAATTCTTATATCCAGAATGTTCAACCCTGTTTTTATCCTTATAAAACAATCTGTGGGATTCTTTCCCACTAACCCTATCAAAATATGACTTCAGGGACTCCACTGTAATTTGGGTTCATCTATGAAGTCAAAATAATTAACTCTGCCACCAACATACTTCAGCTCTGAAGTCATCTGAAAACTTCCCCATGGTGGATTTTGGCATTTATTTGCTTCACCTTATCACCTATTAATCAACATTACTACATTCAGTTCATCGAAATCCAATATACATAGTAGCTATAAATTAGGTTTACATCCTTTCCTAATGCAACTAAATCAAATAACATAACCATGTGTAAAAAATATAGATCTATGCATCAATCTACTGAAAGAAGCAAAATTCATTAACTGATTCGAAGCATGTCTGGTTCTTCAGGGTTCATGATCGCAGACCCATTTAAGATCAATATCCACACCCCGCAACAAACCCGTCATTATTGAGTCTAAATTCATTCACGAACTGAAAGAGTTGATGGATTCCTTCACTTCATCTAGAACTCAAGTTTCTGCTGGCAACCCTCGTTTGTCGATACGGTCGAAGTTCTCTCTCTCTCCTCTTTGAGTCTAAGACAAGTTTCAACTTTATGATAATCAAGTTGAACCAAGTCAACCAACTACTACATGTGTTTTAATATACTCGTTTGTCTACGTGCACCATCCCTCACACCGAAAAAATAGGAGATGGACAATATTAAGAAAAAGACAATTTTACCCCTCCACGTGCATACTACCTTCCGCTACGGTTTCTTCTGACACAAAGACGAGAAGTACCCAAAAAACACTTTCCTTATCATTTGGGGTTGACTTTTAACGTTTTTAACAAATGGGGTAAACCGGAACAGGCCAAAAACAACTGGGGTTTTTGGTTGAAATGAAGCAAGAAGAAAATGGTGCCCCAGTAAAAAAATGCACTTTATTATATATGATTTTGTGTTGGGAGGAGCTTATAGGAATTTTCTACAGCTCCGATAATGGAGATTTGAAATCAACTCGAGACTGAAAAGATCATGAAACCAATTGCTCTTTAGTACTATCGATCTAAAAAAAAAAATGAGAGAACCAATGTTATTAACTAGCAAGATGTAGTTGACTACATTTTACATTTCTCATCTACACGCCAATTTATATCTTAAACATGGTTCATACTAGATAGTAGACTTATTTTAGAAGTTGTGTTACACGCTTATAAAAAAGATATTGGATTTTATTTTAGTGATTAATTATAACCACGCACTTTAATATTACTTTCCTTATTTTTCTCCCATATCTTATCACAATTTAAAGAACGTTTATAAAAAATCCAAACTGAAAATTCCGTATATACAACTATTTGGTGGTTCACTTAACTACTCATCTATAAAATGAAAAAATGACTGAGAATTAGGAACATGTCTTGCATCTTTCTTTCTCCATTTATGAATTGCAAGATGAATCTGATTTAAATCAAAATCCTTTTGATGATATCATTTATGATGATTCTATTGTTCTCATGAATGATGATCATGTAGAAGTTTATCAAGGAGACAACAATAACCACCTCTCAAAAGATAACAGTAACTACGGCCTTAACCAGGATTGCAGTCTTCATTCCAACATGGAGACCGATGGAGCCAATGATGATGATTTGTCACAACTTCAGTTGATAAGCATTCAAGATGATGAATTGGCACAACAACTTCAATTAATATCCATTCATGAAGATGAACTTTCTCAACCAGACTCTGGTAATGTTTAGTTCTTGTTTTAAAAAAAAAAAATTATAAACTCACTAATATACATGAATATTGTTTAGAGTACTCATAGATTATATGTTTAGAAGATATGAATTTTTCGCTCTCACTATAAATGAATATCTTGCTCATGAATTATATGTCTTGAAGATATGAAACTTTTTCTTTATCTTCATGTGAGCAAGGGCAAGTTGATGTCATGTATAGTTTTATTTGAATACAATATAGTACACATTCATGAATTTTTAATTATCTCGTTCTGAAAAATATATTTATGCTTTGAACATATGAATTTTTGTGTTTAATTGCACGTGTACAACAATATAATAGTATGAACATTGTACCTTATATGTATATAAACTTACTAATATATATGAATATCTTAAAGAGCGCTCATGAATTATATGTTTTGAAGATATGAATTTTTTGCTCCCACTAATTTATATATGAATATCGTTCTCATGAATTATATGTTTTGAAGATATGAATTTTTTGCTCTCACTATATATGAATATCGTGCTCATGAATTATACGTGTTGAAAATATGAGTTTTTTTGCTTAAGTTCATGTGAACAAGGGTATTTTCAAGACATACATAGTTGTACATTTTCATGAATATTTAATTATCTCTTTATGAATTTTTTTTATAACAATAATACAATAATACAAGGCATACTTGATCATTTTTCTCTTTTACAAAAACATTATTTTTGTGTCAAAGGACACTCTTGCTTCTTCATGTAGTTATTTGCTTGAAATCAATTAGTATCCCTTTGAACCAAAAATGACTTTAACCAAAACTTTCCTCCCTACACATATGAACATTTGAAATGAATATCATGAATTATATATGTAATCTTTATGAATTTTTAAGTTATATTTTTGTTCGGTCGTTTTATCAATTACATGAACATTGTTTATTGTGGTCATGAATTTTAATTTAACTCGTAATAATGTGAATTTATATTAACATAAAAAGGCTTTATCATCAACGTGTATGCTATTGAATATGAACATTGTTTATTGTTTTGTATTTATGGCATAATGATTAATTTTATATTTGAATATTTTCATATACTTTCGTGAACTTTGGTAGAATATATTATGAGTTTTAATATACTATATTTAATATAAATTGTGTGTAAATCTTAATAACTAATTTTAATTTGTTCAGGAATTAAATCTTATGGTGGTGAGATGATGAAGGCTATAATCGAGGAGAAGAATTAAACTCAGATTTTGTTTATTTATTTTTTTATTTTTTGTATACCCCATTTTAAGTAGTTAGATAGATTTTTTCTCAATCTTTAATTAGAAGTTTTATAAGTGCATGAAATCTAAAAACCAGTTCACCTAAAACAGTGAACCATGGTGTACAATATAACTAGTCATGGGTAGTCGCGCATTGCGCGACCAGTTCGTAATTCGCATCAGTATGTTCTATTCGTGTCCGAGAAGTTGCGTAGCGTTAAAAAATATTTTGAAAATCTTTTTCTTGAATTGTTTAATTGAATGGTTATATAGGATCCAAAGTTGCCGATAAATACTCATATTTCATTGTTGATTTTGTTTGTGCATAGCTTTGCTTGTATTCAACATACATAATCCTACTATATATAAATACTAGATGTTACCCGCACGATGTGCGGGATAGATAAATTATGTACAAAGATAAAAATAATGTGTATCAAAGAAATATATTTTATTTTTGTAGAATTAAAATAATTGGAAGAGATTATGATATATTAGTTTCAGGAAATTGACACATTTGAAGGACTCATTTTATCTACTGATACTATAAACGACCATTCTGTTTCCAAATAGGCTGTAGTAAATCAAATATATTGTACTCTTCCTTCACCTTCTACGTCTAAGCATATGTAGTCGATAATGCATTACTTGCCCCACCTTTAAAATAATTTAAATTTTGTTACAAATATATATATATATATATATATATAGTCTATAGTATTATACTAAGAGACAAACCAGAGAGAGAAAATCAAACTTCTCCTCCCGTTGACACATAAGACAAAATCTTATGTGTAATTTTTTTATAGGTTGACACAAACAATTGGCCATGGTTTTTTTAGGTAAGGTCATCAACCATGGTTTTTTTAGGTAATGTCATCAATCATAAT